GGATGCCTCTGCTATTGGGATTTTGGAGAGTGATACTTGGCGTTCGGGAATGCCGAATGGAATGTGCCCGAGTATTTTTCGTATCGGATCATTGAATCTGCCCGAGGATAATGGGGTTGCGTTGTGAAACTTTTGATCCGGTTTTATCCTCTTAAGATAATGAGTTTCCCTGTAAACTTCACGAAAGATTTTTCCCTTTGCGTTCTGTATCGTAGGATTCTTATGTTTCGCTGAGATCTTAGTTTTAATTAGAATTTTCAAGATCAGTCGAGTAACTCTACTGTCGCTTTTGATTTATCCACGATTGAATTGTTTTCGAATTTACTCTAGTTTCTTCGTAGTTTCCTACATCTGAGTCTTCAATCCCTTGTCTCGTAAAAACGTGTCGCACTCATAACGCAGATTTTTAATAGGATTTAACATCGTGTTCAAATTAAATATTATTCTCTTGTACTCGATGATTTTACTTTAAAACAAACATAGACGCAGGATATACCTAGGATTCTCCTCTCTTTCCAATAAATCATCGACGACAAAGTAATCATATCAGAGTTGACTATTCCCAAAAGAATCACACAAATCTACCCCTCAAGGAATGAATAATAAAGAACCCAACAGGTCTAACTATAATCGCTTTCCAGAACTAATCTCCCAATTATCCGTTCACCCGCGATTCCCCGAAACCATCATCCTCGCAAAACCTCATCAATACCCAGCTTCTCACGATGCCTGAAACAATCCGAGCCGGAAAGAAAAATTCTCATCGATACCAGCTTAATTGGTAGGAATTCATCTGGTGCGCGATCCCACGGAGTCGCCGGTTAATCGAACCCCAATCGGCTGCCTCGCGGGAACACCAACGAAGACTCATCCGAGTCATCCAGCGGAATCGGTCCAAGACCGATCGATCGATCTTCTCCACCGCTCCCGTACGATTGTCATAAAACAATTGACCGACCGGATAATCGGTGACGCCGTAAATACTACAAGATCGATGGCGGATTTGGCGTGGAGATCGAGGACGGAATTGAAATGGCGTTCGTCCGTGGATCCCGCGGAAGGGTGGCGTGCCGTGGTTGCGCCGTGGAACGGAAAAGGCATCGTTGCGCCCGGAGCCGTGGAAGATGATCGTTTCCGTAATAAAAATCGTCAACCAGATCGTAGCTCACGTACCGATACGGGGCCCGCGCCACTCCCTGCCGGCCAATCAGAGTCAGCCGCGTCCCAGGCTTAATGTATTCAAATGTAAGCGGTAGCAGTGTTTATGTCTTGACATTGCAAATTGTGCCGGCTAGGCCATAACTTATAGTAATTGCTGCGCGCCGGCGTAATTATTTATACACGTGATATAGCGTATAGAGGGCCGGCTCGCGGTTATTCAAGCGCGGGCTGTATCTGTATCTCGGCCTGCTATAATTGTAAGCGTGAATATCGAAAAGGGGCACGCGGGCCGAGATTAATATCGCAGCCCGGTGCGCCGCGGACGAATCGGCGACTTCGATGCCTCTCGCGGCCGAGACGCCGCGCCGCGCTGCGGCAGGACGGACGGGACGCGAGGAAAAACTGTCGTCGCACGAAACTGCTCGGCTGGAACCGTTCAGGAAATTTATTGGTCAATTGGCTCCGTAAATCTTCTACATTGTTGCACGGAGCTTTAGGGTGTGGTGTGATTTATCGGGTTCCTAGCCGCAGGTTTCGAGAAATTGAATTCTTCGGTGTTCTCCGTGTCTTATGGAGTCTTTATGCGGTTTGCGTAGATGATTATGCTTGTGTTTGACGGTAATCTTACCGGGGGTTTTCTTACCGTAACTAGCTAGATAAGTGGATAGAAAATGAAGGTAGATAAGTTGCATGATATATTTGTTTTAGGCGCAACGGAAACGAAGGGAAAGGCAAAAATTGAAAACTGGTTAATCAGATAATGTAGAAATTGATATGAAGTTCAATGATCGAAAGGAAGTAGAGTTTCAAGTCACCTGACCGGTCCCCGGTAGAGTTACCGATTTTATTTGTAATATTCTAAAGAATTTGAAATCTTTGGTATTCCCCGTATCGATGTACACGATTTGTATTTTGTTTACGTTGAGAGTTTTCAACATTCTCGTACGCGTATATGCGAATTTAAGAAGTACATTTTTCGATCGCGTCGAAACTAAATAAAGGGAGCGCGGTAATTCTGTAAATGAAGGGATTGGCGGTAACGTTTCATCAAATTTTATAATGAAGAATAAAATGAAACAATAAATGGAACCGCTGGTAGAGTTTTACGTTTGAACGGCGGCGCGTAAAAATTATACTTCATTAAATAATATCGTCAAACTTTTTAAAACACGTGTAGGATAAATGTATGTGCGGACTTTTACAGAATTCCGTGTGTTTTTTTTCGCCCCCCAACACGGACAACAGGCGCGCCGTAAAAGTAAGCATGAATGACTCATGCGAAAATAGATGCTCTGTTATATAGTAGGTTAATAATAAATAGGCGTCCGCGTAACGGAATACACGAAAAACCCGGTTGTAGGAATTGAGCGGTGAAAGCTGCATGACACGGCTAAATGCCGCGTAATTAAACATTGTGTAAGCGCACTTAGGCACTCATTTTTTTCTATCACCCCCGTAATTTCAAATACGACGAGCGTATAAACACGTCGCACAAATCAGTCGGTCGGCGCGCGCGCTGCGCCTAGTATAAATGGGCTTACACCCGGAATGCATAAAAGGTGAGCCCCCCCGAAAAAAATCGGAACAGTTTATTGATCCCATCTAAATAAAAAAAACATGGCGCGCTCGCGGACGGAATTTGCTTTGATGCACTTTGCGGCGCTGCGGAATGAGAAAATATGGCTCCATTAAAAAAAATCCATGTAATCGTAACTTTTTTAATGGGAAAAGGTATTCGGACAGTTTTTTTTATTATCGTTAGTTGTTGCCCGGCTAAACACGAAGATATTTTCGCGCTCAAAATATCCCGGTTAATACATCGAACGTACTTTCCCCGATTCCCGTCGAGAGTTTAATTATCCGGTTATTTTCGACGCGCGTTTACTGGCCGGCGCACGGTTCTTTACTATTTTATTTATCATCCCCCCTCCACCCCGACCCGATCCCCGGCGAAGAGCCGTCGAACGAAAGAACCAGGTCGCTAATCAGATAAAAATTGATATCCATTTCCAACGAGCGAAATATTTATTCCCTAATAAATTCTTAAGAACGCTCGGTTTTCCCGAACAGCCTTCGGATACGCTCGGAGAGATTCATGTTCCCGATACAATAGTGCCGCCATCTCGCACGTCACGGGCGAACCATCGCGCACAAAAAAATGCCGGTGGGCTTCTTTTTTTAAAAATGGCTCCTTTTTCCGAGCGAATCGAACGCCGAAAAAAAACGAGCCCCCTACCCCTCCGGAAACGATGGCGGGGTATACTTAGAGACGGCGCGCGCGTTATAAATTCGTCGGCGCGTCGCGTCTACGTTCCGCGCCCGGGGGACGTGTTTCCGTCGTGCGTTTTTCTTTTTCCCCGGGCGGCCGTAAATCAACGTCGAAATTAAGAATTTCGGCGGACCGGAGGCGAAGAAATTCGCGGAGCGACGGGTCTAAGGGCGAGCCGCGGCGGAATTTCGCCCGGTGTCTGTCGATAAATCAGTTTAAGCATTCAGCCGATGAGAAAGGGGGTGGTTTTGCGGTGTAACAGGTGGTTGAAATTCTCATTCGCCGCGCCTTTTTACTCCTTTATCGGCAAAAAGGGAAAGAATAAGTTCCAGTTTATGAATCGGAGCGCGTTTAACGCTTCTTAAAAGGATAAAGCCGGCCGGACGGCTTTTTCCACCCGGGGAAATTGCCGAGTCCTTTACGAGGCCGCGGGACATATCGATAGACACCGGGCTCGTTTTTCTTTTACGATATCCCGGGACCGCGGCGGCGGGGAGGGGGGCTCTTTTTGCAGGTGCTGACTGTCCGCCGGAATCAAATGAAAATTAATTGAAGCGCCTCGTCGCGTATGCTCCACTTTTATTTCGACACTTCAACATTATCACAAACAGGCTTAATTTAAAGATTGGGGTGGGCAGCTGGTCGCCGCTCGATCGATCGGCAGAAAACGTCTGGCTCCGTCGAATTCCTATTTCTACGGGTACAAATTAAATAAGGTTCACGTTTATTTACAACATTATTCACAGAGAACATTACCGTGTACAAACGATCGTTAAAGCTTGCAAGTCTTCTGATACTAGGATTACAGGGTTGTGCGCGTTCGCGGGCTCGGACTTAAACGGCTAATTCGCTCTCCCTCGGATTGATCGCTTCTTAACCCTACTGACAATTAATTTACTAAACCTATATGTAAGAATGCCTATTACGGTAATGAATAGAACAAGTCTTGGGCCCGTTGCGGACGAACAGATCTCCGCTGCGCGGTTTCGCTGCGGATTGCCGGAGGAATACAGTTGTTTTGTTTATACTTCAATGCTTAACCCATTCGAGACGAATTTCACGCAAGGTGTATAATGATTATGAATTTCCAGTAGTAATTAGTAACGAGAAACTAGTTTATCATGACTGGTTAACAGTGAAAATTGCAGATGTGCGAAAATTGAAATTTGTATTAATTCTAAACTAAGACTCTAATGCTGTCTGCGAATGAGTTAAGTCGGCAATTGAAAAGGAAGAAAAAATATACAAAATTCGCTCGTTAATAAATTTTAATCGCTCGCATTGCCTAATAAAATTCAGTCTACCGAGACGCGACACAAACGAAGTATTTCCGAAGCGAAGAAGCTCGCTCGTCTGCGCTGGACCTTACAATTACCAAAAATACAGATATACTCGGGATAAAACAAGTTACAGTCGTCTCTAAGAATTAGCGAACGGTATCGGTCGTTCCTAAGGCACTGTATTCGACGCGGAGATTACGATACGGTCGTAGGATACTTTCTCGCGGTCGGTCGCAATCGGTTCTATCGTGATAGTTTGTACTAAGCGATCCAGGCCGGTTTCTCGATACAAAATCTACTTAAACGAGACCGAGCGAAGACGGTCCTTGAATCACCACGGTCTCCACATATCGCCGTTCGCGCCCGAAGGGCCGGCCACCGCAGCAAATTTGAGAGGATTAGGATTAGAATTTCTATTAGTCGAGCCAGTCGCTCTCTCCGACAAATCCTCTACGGGGACCGTCTGATCTTCCCCGGATTTTGGTGGGCCATTAGAAGAATCCATGGGAACTGTTGAGCTGATCGATTCTTGGTACCTAGGTCTTTTATCGGAGATTACCAGAAGACCGTCCAAGTGGTGTCTCTTCGCCATCTCCCTCCTGTGCGGCACGGGGCTGGATCGATTGTAGGTCTTATCGGTGATCACCGAGAGCGGTTGCCGTAAATTCGGCACGATTCCGTTACTATTCAATGTCTCCGACAAGTCCGCGGCTTCCTTTCGCAACGCGAAGCTCCCGTCCAGCTTGGGCTCCACGAAAATAGGCACCGGCGATTTGCTGTCGCTGGTCGAGCTGATTTGCGGCTTCTGGGTGTCCGGCGACGAGGTGAAGCTCTTCGAGGATGCTGGACTCTGCTCGGGTATCTTGAATCGATGATGATTGGGCGAATGAGCCTGGGGATAGAGTTCCGATTGTTGGCTCTCCTCGCCGAAGCTGGACGTAGACGTGGTTGGACTCAACATCGGGCTCTGAGGCCTGTGGACAGCGGTGAAGGCCGACGATTTGCCGATCTTCGATGCGGATTCCAGGGCTGGCGGGAAGAAAGGAAAATTCGCGGAGATGTTGGCCGATTGTGGGACCAAAAGAGCCAGCTCACCGGTCGGCAGTCGACTCGGTATCAACTGAACGCCGTTCGGTATCTGTATCCTGGCGCTCCCGTTATTATTCTCGTCGCCATTCTGGAAATCGCTCTGGAAACCGACCTTCACCTCTGGGTAGAGGCGTTCCGGCATGTAGGGCACGTAGTGGCTGTAGAAGGGCGCCATTTGCTGGAGATTACTGACGCAATTGTTCAAATGTGATACCAGCCGTTGCTTGACAACCGGATCGACGTTCTCGAGGTGGTTGACGTACCGCGATACTTCGGTAGCACATTCAGAAAATCCGGTACGGAATTTCGTTAACACCGCCGGATCGGTAGCGACCGCCGTGCTCAATTGCTGCCGTTGTACCGCCTGTAAATGCTTCACCGTCATCTCGAGGATATCGGCCTTCTCGAGCTTCGAATGCCTCGTCGGCTGAAATAGAAAAAGAAGTCATTGATAATTCACTGTTTCATCTAAAAACATTTTTGCTAATGTTATTTCATTTGGAAAGGTTACGGATTGAATATTGGAAAATGTTTTCTCGATCTATTTCACGAAGGATTCTAGGGAACGAATTGTCCCTAGCGCGCGATCGATAATGCTGGTTGCTATCGTGCCAACTGCTGCGTACTCGGCGATCTGTGTTATCGACAGGCAACAAGCGAGATCGATCTCTGAAGAAGGCAATATAGTTTCCACCTTGTACAGAGACTAACAATCACGCTGTATCCTCGGGGCACGGTTCGGAAGCTGAGTACCGATCGCTCATACAAGATATCTGTGACGCCTCGGTAACGCCCACGTAATTACCTTCGACCTGTTACCTTAATAACAGAGTGGTAACTTCGGTAGCTAGGTGCAAGCAATTTCGTAGTCCGCCGGAGGCAACCGGAGCTACCTTCTACCGGAAATTTTTCATTAATTTCTGTATGCAAATCGTTCTTCGATAAACGGGCAGGAGGACCGCTTAGAAAAATGGCGGTTTTAATTAAAATCGGGTTAACCACAGGTGCAACGCGTTTAGATCTAACCGAAGGAGTGTTTTGTAAGGAAAAGTGAGTCACATCGTGGGAACCCGTTAGAGAACCTCGAGAGGCATCCCGAAACATTTTTTCGGGAGCAGAACGTTAGCCCTTTCTGTATTCTTCGGATTCCCACTAGCCTTTAAAGGATCAATAACTCAATACCGATGCAGTTCTACAACCTAGAGAGTCTATTGTGTCCTTTCCACGCCACGGTTCTCGTCCCCGGCTCAGGTTAGTGCTCGCATTTTTATGGTAAACTAGCGGTCACCTTCGAAATAAGCGTGGGAGTCGAAGAAGGGATCGGTTACACAGCCCATTGAGGCTCTTCTATCCTTTTATGCACTTCTAAACGTGCTCCCGAAAAAGATACATCGACTTAGAAATCGCGAACTACTCTTCAGAAGCGTTCAACCTGACAATTATATTTTTCAGAATGATGAATGAAGAAAGGAACTTGAAAAACTGAAAAATCTCCGCTAATATATCAAAGTCGATTTAATCGTCAACACAACGAAACTATTGTCTTCATTTTCAAAGCTGTAAAGGAGACCACAGAAAAATTTCTTCGAAAATAGGCACTTCTTTCCAAAGAGGATTAAAATTTCTATCCTCTAAAAGCAACGAAAACCTAAGGATCACAGGATAGCAAGAAAATGGAAGAATCGACGCGGAAATCGAGTTTCCCTCGCTGCGAATTCGACACTCGTGAAGATCCAGAGGACCGACACCTGCTAAAGCCTCAACGAGAAGGCGAAGGCGTCGGGAATCCCCCGGTTTTTTGCCGATCACCGACGTCCTCGCGATGCCCCGGATCCTTAAAGATGATACGGTCAACAAAGGGAGTCTGCAACCCGAGATGAGATTCTTTTTTTCTTCGTAATAATTATTTCGAGGTTCCCACGAACGCGGGGGGCGTTTCGTACGGGCGAACGGGACGGACACCGGAGCGAGCAGGTAGCGGAAGTCATCTGGACGAGGAGAAGAGAACGGTGAGAGCGGCTAACTCTCGTAATATTCCTGTCTGAGAAATCAATCTCGATGGATCGTGTTACCCGGAGCGGAGTCCTCTGTCCTCCGGTACTGGGGGAAAATCCGGCGGATGCTGGTAGACACTTTTCCCAAAAAAAACGTGTTTTTAAATCCTCCGTTGATTTCGAGAAGAAAATGGAGTGCTAGAAATTGTTTATCTGATCGTCTACTTTATATACTAAGTAACTATACCTCTTAGATAATTAAACTATTTTTGTATATTTCAAATAAGAAGAAGATGAAAATGAAGTTGAAAAGATTGATTCAAACTTATATTCAATAATTTTAGAATCATATATACTATGAAGTTGAAGAATTCTAGTGAAACTACTTGTATCAATGTAAACTCTGAATCTTTGCATCTAACCAAAGGAAATGATTTCTAATCAATTTAGAAGTGTTATAATTGAGAAATTAAGGAACCGATTCGTCGAGGCGCTAAATTAATTTCACCGGGGCCAATTTCTTTTATTGCAGCTCGCATGCGCAGGCGATAACAGTGCGAATTGGTTAAAGTCGCAGTGGTCAGATAAGGCGTGCGTAGTAATCGCGGCAGATTGTTTCGGTGCTCCCGGTATAAAGGTCAAGAGTCGATCTTTTAATTAAACTGATAGGATGAGCTCGTTGCGGATGTTGGGCTAGAACTGTTTGATCAGGCCGTCTCCTTTTTTTCTCCGTCCGTGCCTCCGTCCTCCCGTGTGACATGATTTGTTTTCGACTGTAGAATTGGGACTCCGGTAGCAGGAGGTGGACGGGGTTTTGTTTTAGTGTTTTAGATGCCTTGCCGTGGGAACGGATGGTGGAAGCCCTCTGCCGACACGTAACCTCCGCCGGAGTCTCGACAATGGCACTTCAGTCCCCGAACCGAGTGGCAAACCAGTGCCCGGCGCATTCCGCTCGATCGCTTTTTTCGAACGGACGAAATATCACGGCACGAAAATTGCCAATTACAATGAACAGAATTTCTATTCCCAATAGCAAATACATTCGCGGCTAGAAAGTCGAGAAAGCAGCTATTGTCTGAATCAATGAGACGCAAAATGTGAACGATGACGTTCTGAAGTGCCATTTTCAATTTAATTATCGATAAGTCTTGTTTTCCTTATCGTTCATGCATTTCGATATTCTGTAGCGAAATATGATTTCACTTTAATCTCCTTCGATCATCTGAGATATAGTAATCGGGAGGTTCGTAAATACTTAGCGGTCTTTTGCGAATAACTCATTGTTCTCGTAGCTTACATTGCACTTTCTATTGTCCCTTCTTATTAAATAAAAACAGAAACAGGAATTTCAATTGATTCGAACTGTAGATCCTCGATTATCCTTTATAACCTAAATCTCAGACCAACAATTCATACCGGATCATCCAAATCGAAGCTACCGATAACCAAATAATGGTAACTATTCGCTATTTCCTCAATCCCATTCATCGGGCCGACTCAGAAACCACCAATCCAATTTCCCAGAAAGAACACGGGAGAACAACCGAACTTCCAAATCCAACGAGTCAGCTGTCGCCGACAACATGGCGTCAGCGCATTATCGATCGCGCCCGTGTTATCCAAAAATCCCGATCGAGAGGAATTATCAGCGGCCGGACGGCTACAACACCCTTGGCAAAAGTATTCGGTGGGTGGCCGGGAGAGAGGCTGCGCATATTTCCGCGTTATCTCCGGTAAACGTGGATCACGTCAGCAGATAAGGTCGCGGCGGCCACAGCTCGGCGCGGTCACGTTTCGCGCGGCACGTTTCGGGGCGCCGGCGACAACGTGGGTTCCACGAGAGCGGCGACCGGCTATCGCGCGCGGTCTGGTGCTATCGTCCGGTAGGCTTTGCTGATGTCGTTCCTCGTCAAGAGAATTCCGCCGGTCGTTTCACCGTGTCACGCGATTAAGAGATTAAAACCCGCGCGCCGCGTGAGACCGCTCTATCTACGGCCGACATCTAGAGCCCGGCAACGCGCCGACTCCGATCGATCGCGCGCGAAATCACTGTCATCGGCTACCTGCCGCGCTACCGGCAGGGGAAGGGGGAGGGAGGGCCGATAACAAGCACGACGATCCAGGGGATAAATCCCTCTCGAGATACTCACGTCTTTTTTCATCGCCTCCAGGATCAGACTCTTCAGCTCGTCCAGGCACTGATTTATACGCGCGCGGCGACGCTTCTCCATGATCGGCTTGTTGCTCTGCAATTAGGAAATTAGGAGCTTCATGGATCGCCCTATCGATAGCGCGCGTTCGCGCTGGGATTGATTATATTGCCGCTGGAGCTGGCGATCCCGCGGGAATCGAGATGATTGGTTTACACGAGCTTCGTTATGTTAGCGATAAATAAACGGACTTCTATGGTTCTCGGAGTTCGAATACTGTTTACATTGCATTTCTTTGCCGATTTGGTCTACCGTGATTTTTGTGTAATGTTACGTTTCGTCAGCTCTAGTGAGGATATAAGCTATTAACAGTGGGCGTTGTAGACTTAGTAATCATTTTAGATATTCAGGTTGTCACTTGATCTATAGATATGGATATTGTTGTATTTGAATTATGAAGGTTGGCAGAGGTTGTAACCTTATCTCGTTTTGAAAGTATTTACTAGAGCCGAAAATCGGGATGTTCTATACGGAAATGAATGGCATACCTATCCTAGTCCAATGTTTATCTTTGGTATCGCGTACACTATTTCTTCAAACGATCTTTCGCCACGGTGAATGGTCATTAACATTCGACTAATATGTTTCCCAATTCAAATCTAACTATTGTACTTCATGTCTTATAATGCTCATTTCCGTATAAAGATCATCATTTCCGTGTTCAGCGACGCAAAATACTCGCAAAACGACAAATTACAGTAACAAATTTTTCTAGATGGAACAAGCCGAACATTCAAATGAATCTCTATCTCCTGAACACCACCAAGAATGATTACAACTTCTCTCCAACTGTCCAACTTCCCAAACCGTTGACAAATGTCCAAAACCTTCGTTTACCTTCCGCAACTCCGCCTTGGTCATCTCGGGCTGCGCGTGAGCCTCGTGCTCCTCTTCACTGCCGGACATCTTGTAATTATAATAATCCACCATTTATGCACCGAATCTAACACTTGTATCCTGCGAACTGTGTCAACACAAAATATCCTCGCTGTCCGTAAGTCCTTGGAAAACTGCGCTGTCACAGGTGAACCGTATTTATCCGCGAACGAGTCATTCCAATCTTCGACGTCCGACGTTCACGAGCGTACTGAAGGAAGACTTTCGAATATCGGGGTTGGGGATGATCGCCGCTAACGGCGACGTCCCGCTTGGGGTGTAGAGGGTAACTGTTTGACGTTTTCGATTTCGAAGACCGCATGCCGATGTACTCACCGGCGGCTGTAGTGGGGTGAAGCATGGCCTGTAGTGGGGCACTCGTCGGGGTGGGGAGGTCCTCCTGAGACCTGTTGATGTGTGGGAATTCACGCCGTCCTCGGGGCAAGGCGATATAGTCTCTCCTCGAAATTTGAGTCTCTTCTTTCGTACTCCTTTCGCACTTTCTTTCGTCCTTTTTTTCGTACTACACGCGAGCATAAAGCTGGCTTTGTGCCGGGCATTTAATAAAGAAGCTGAACAATCGGATCTTCGTTTTTCGGGGATGAAATGGTACGGGGCGATTGTTCATGGTTGTTTATTAATCATAATTCCAAAGACACTCAACTGAATTTAATCGACGTATTTCTAGCTTTAATGTTTACCACTTGGGAAAATGAATTCAATCATTTCTCAACGAATCGTTAAGAATATACAAATGTTTATTACTTGAAGCTTGTAGATTTTTTGAAGATTATATTTTTTGACTATACACAACTATCATACAATCTCGCATAAATTCTGAACAATTTAAGTTCTCATATTCGTTTAACAAATACCATTTCAGTTAATTTTGTAGAATTTCCTATCGCGATTCTCAGTGTCCGATCGATATTTCGTAATCCAGCGATTAAACGAAACCGATCTCCAAATAAAATATTGTTCAGTTACATCCCGGCGAGTTAGAAAAAGTATCCTCGTGATATTTCAAGCAGCTTACCGGAATCAATTAAAAAGGAGAAAGAAGAGCTCGCCTCGTGACGCAAAAAAAGCTCGAGTACCGCAAAGACGATCGCGTCGGTCTGATTGCTACGATCGGGCCCCGACCGCGGCGCGGCAAAGGCGAAAGCGACAGAGGATCGTACGATAGAGGAGGGCGAGCGCACCGTGTGCCGGACGTGTGTATACGTGCGTCATAAGTGTGGCCGGCGCGCGCAACGATGCATCCGATGCACACACGGGACGAGAGGGCACCCTGTGTGGGAATTCTTCTGAAACGTTAAATACTGTTTACTCGGGCTGCGCCGCAGTGTTCTCCGGGCTGCCGGTTTCATCAATGAACTCTTTCTTTCGTGGTGGCGAGCACAGCGTTTTATAGAGGCAACGCCATGGGAAATTGCGATATCGGGATGCAGGCACAGCCGCTGCAACTGCGACTTTTTTTAGGGATATCATTTACAATCGTAGTCTTTGTGTAATCTCTTTATTGCACTGTTAATGGCCATTGCCTCGTTTTAATTCGGTGAAACCGAGGATTCCGGGGGTTTATGGATTCTTTATTTTATATATATCGATACTGTGTATAGGAGAAGGGCGAATTACTCGGAATGTGTGATTATATTACAATTATTAAGACACTACGTTTACTTATATTATATTCCAATTAATAAAATATTATATCTGTATAATGTAATAATAAGAACATTCTTTTTTTGCATTAACTAATTTTAAATCATTGTTATTTATTAAGCTTGATGTTGGCATGAGATTGGTAATCTGTTGCTATATTTCACGATTGAGGAACGTTGCTTGTTAAATGGTTTTTTTTGTATAATTTTGGAATCGATTATTCACAGATTTGTGCAGTGAGGAAATGTTAAAAATTATAAACAACGAGACAGAAGTATAATGTAGTTCGTAGGATTTTTAACGTCGATGGACGATTTTTATGGCGTCCGAGAGTGAACCATTTGTAACGAGAGTAGGCGACAATTAATCAATTAATTAAGGCTACTTACGGGAAACGTCCGTCGAGGGTGTCGACGATTGACGCGCGGCACGCTTACGAGTAGTAACACCTTGTCAATAAAAGTATAAAACTGTAAAAAAGAGAGAGAAGAGGATGAGAAAGTGGAGGGAGGCGTCTTATGGTGGTCGCAGTGCGTTCCACGGGCGAAAAACGTGTAGACACGAGACAGTAAACGACGGACATTTGTTTCGTTTACGAAATCAGTTACAGCCCATTTCTAGAGGCAATGGCGACCGCAATAAACAGATAAACCTTTATGACCCGCGATTATTGCACCGGAAAACTTTTACTTTTCGAGGGCCGTAATCCGTCGGTAGGCCATTTTCCAGCATTCCGACTCTATGCTGCGTAAACAGTCCCTTTGACCGTTGATTTATTTCGTCGTTCTCGTCTACCGATGCACCACGATTCCTGGACAGAATGAATAAATATCTTCCGTGAATAAATTGAAATTAATCTCCCTTGCCGCGAATGAGCCCATAATATTGGCCATTTTGACCGATCATTGCGTCGTCTTAAACACCTATCAATCTTCAGAAAAAAGTTTATTCCTCTACTTAGAAAGATTCAGTTGTAGCTAAATTTTCAAATACCCAACATTTTTAAACCATTACAATTTTCTAATCTCATTTCATTCAGTTCACTCGTGAAAATTTGATGATGTCCTCTATTTCAAGAGAAGAGAAGAAAGCAAATAACGATTGAATTAAGTTGATACTTCACTAAAATTCATTCCTTTGATCTAGTTGAAAATTCTTATCCCAATTCCGACTCATTAAAATGTATGATTACGAATAATTACGGTGAGCAGAATTATCTTGAAGTATCAGCAGCGCCGCGAGTCAAATATTTCTTTAATTAATCAGCCCGTCGCGTGTCGCTATTTCAAGACTCTCAATCTCTCGGTGCCTCGTGATTACCGTGAACGTTCGTGTGACGCGCCGTTGCGTCACAATGTGTCTCGCGATAGTTCCGCGATAAATCGGTCCCCGCGAACAGCTGTGTACCCCTGGTCCACGGAACTTCCGCGTCTCCACGGTTCCCGTTGCATTATGCCCGCGCATGCGTGCCAGATGCACGAACCGCCGCGATCAGGAGGCTCTCCTGCGCGGTCCTCCGGGATTGAGAAATCAAGATCCAGCCGCGATCGGATCACCTGGTAGCATAAAGGCATAAATCTCGTGGGGAACGAACGAGTTGCTCGCTCTTGTTTCTCGCTCCTTCATGCGCCTCTTGGATCGCCCTTCAGATGATCGATCAAAGATTAAATGCTCGGGGGAAATGTGGAACTCACCGGGTTTGCAAATTTCGTATGCCACACCCTGCTCCGATCATTATCGGAGCGGATGTTTATGGCTGGACTGCGGATCTTGATTCGGCACTAGGTTTTTGAAAACTGATTTCTCAAGCACCCTATCGAGTAGAAATTAATTCATTCCCTAAATAACTTCAGTATAATGAGAGTGAGTTTCTAATATTTCCTTTTATAAATAATTTCGGTATACTGACGGTGATTGTCTAATATTCTCTCTATAAAGAACTTCAATACACTGTAAATGATTTTCTAATATTAGGCGTAAAGAAAAGTTCGATGAATTTCGTGAGTTTTCAGTTTCAATTGGAGTATAATTGTTAACCCTTACACAGGGGGATGAAACCTGTTAACGTTAAGACACTGGATAACAGAGGATCGATTCATAATCAATGTTTGGTAGTAAGAATTCATATTTCGGAACGTACGAATGTCCCTATGTATGAAAATAATCATTTTGAGGGTAGTAATTTGATATTCGAAGAATAACTGCTCCGTAGATTGACGATTAATAGAGTACACGAATCCTTCGTTGGAATATATGAACTTCATATTGAAATTCGGAAGTTGTTCCGTTCATAATCATCGGCTTCTGGTGATATATTCTTCGAACGTCCGGCAGATCGTCTTCGATTCATCCGGCGGCGAGTCCGTTACATTTTTGAAAAAGGATAGGCCGTCCCCTAAAAGTAGGTACTTTATGGTTTTATTTTGGGTACCTACCATCAGTAAATGCATAATGTGCTACGTTAAACTGCAGCTTTGTCCCTGGGACTGGTATATTATTGCGTAGCCATGGAGGACCCCCCGAGCTACAAGAGGGCCGAAGTAAGAGCCCCGGGCCCCTTCTTGCTCCTGCATCTGCAAACTCTGGACTCGGAAGTTCCGTCGAGGGTACGACTGGCTTCCACAATAAAACAGGCCGCGGCCTTGAATTTTGTTTTTAACTTATCGCCCCTCTTCCGGCGATCTCGATTCACCGTTACTGCTCGCCATACCTGTCCTCTGTTACAGTTCCGATTCCATGCCAGTAGACTTTTTTTACCATTCGATAGTACAGAGAATTGATTATTTCGTCGAGAATCCAGTTCTCAAATATTTAGTTACTTTACGTCCGACGTAACGCGTTTCATTAATATATTTCCTAAAAACATAGAGCGTGAAATTCGTTAAATGAATACTAAATTTAACGAATGTAGAATGCAATTTTTAAGTTTTCCACTTTTAGACATTCTGTTTATGTTCTTTCGAAAATATACGAAATAATCTAAGGAATGCTAAGGAACATACGTGGAACTTCGTTCTTTAACCCTTTGCGAACGAATGTCGACAGTCTGACAAGATCAAGCTTTCATATTTGTAATACTAAGCACACAATTTAATTACTAAAACAGCGAAAGATCAGTACATTGTTTCACTTTTCTCTATTATTTAAGCATTCGATGTAATTCGACAGGATCTACCTTAGGTTTCGTATTTTACGAGTATATTTTTTATTTGAAAACTTTCGAAATATCTGGAACCCTGGAAATTAAAATAGCCGAAGACGCGAGCACTTAATCTGCCCTCATCTTGTGTCGAAAGGACAAGTTCCCAAAGTTCTCGGTACCGCGCGCCGTAAAACGGAATTAGATCCAAAAAAGGAATTTTCGACGGGTCATAAACGGTCGTCCATGGAAATTCTCATCGTCCGGTTCCGTCTGATTCCCATGGGCCACGATTTCCCATAAATATTCCAGCTAGCTGTCATAACGGAAGGCGTTCGGTCAGATGTCGCGACCTCCTCATTAACCCCGTGAGTCTGAGAGCCTCGAGTAGTTCGCTTGACCACAAACCTCTTGAGGAAGATCAAGAGGCGAGTCTAAATTTGGAACGCCCACCCTCTACTTTGCGGCCCGATCTCGGGATACACCTGCAGCCCTCG